GTGGACAAGAGTGTCAGGTATTTCTCCAAGCGCCGTCTGAAATCTCATAGGGTCCATCAGGCGCCTGGGGCGGAACCACTTAATCAGTTCCCCCTCCCTACAGTGGGGGATTGGTTTCTGAAAGTCAAGCCTCAGTAGGAAATGATCAGACTATGACAAGGGCAAGATCTTAATGCCCTTCAAATCTAGATCACGTCTCCACTGCTCCGAGAGAAATACGAGGTCAAGCGGTGTGACCCGCTAAGTGAGTCGGACCCCGAATTACTTGGGTCAAGTCCATGGCTGTCATGGAAGCCATGAACTCCTGCGCCCCATCAGAGTGTTCACCGAGCGAAGGCAGGTTGAAACTTTAAATCATCACATGTAACTTGAGTACCTCAATCAGACATGAACTTGCAACACTGATACTTTTGCAATGGGTACTTTAGTATTACATAGTAAAAGTCATGGAAGAGGGCTTTTCATCCACACCAGAGGTGTCAAACTGGCAGCCGATGGGCCAGATGTCACACACAGGCCATACCCACCCCAGCTCCACGAATGGCAAAAATGTCACGAAACGTCACGTAAGGACAATGTGACACCATAGTTTGATACCCACGATCTACACTATACACCACAAATATGTTCCTGGCCAGGCCCCAAACCTCCATTACAGATGTCCCAAAGGTGTTTTTTTTAATAGGCAACTGGACTTTCTGGTTTTTTCTTTGAAGACGTTTCACTTCTCATACCAAGAAGCTTTTTTAGCTCTCAATGAGAAGCGAAACATCTTCAAAGAAAAACCAGAAAGTGCAGTTACTTCTTGAAAAAGCACCTTTGGTACAACCATGACCTGGATGACTGAGAATCTCAATTATAGATGTTTCAGATTTCTGCTGGATACAGTTCAATATGACTGGCCCCATTTGACAGGTTTCAGTTTGTTTCCCATGGCAACTGCTTTAATTTAACTGCAATTTGCTTACTTTAGAATCCTTTTTGTGACCTCCTGCCAGCAGCTTCATAACAACAATATTTGGCTTGGCAACTTTAAGAATTCGGTTGACCTAGACAGAAATAGTCAAGTTTCATATTATGTGTGCATAGTTAAGAGACCAGTTGCAATGAAGACTTAATAATCCTCCTTGCAGTTTTTATATTTATTTCTCCATAATGGCTTATTTATTAACTCAATTGTATATTAACAAATGTGCTTTACAAATATATTGTTCTAATGTATAAGTAATAAGCACAGTGACATGCTTTCCAAATATTGACAATATTCCAGGATATATTGCAGCATTCTGGGGAAGCATGAAAAATGCCAGGCTGTTGTCAACATCTTTTAAAAGATGGACTTCTTTCCATATTCAGAAATGATCAAATTCTCTGATTCTTTTTAAGTAAACCACTAGCAAAGTTACAAAACAAGAGGATGCAGAGCAGATTTCTGACTAATTAACAGAAAAGAACTAGTAGGTAAAGCAATAAACACTGTAATAACTAGAATTTTAAATCTGGGGAGCAGTTCTATTCATAATGATTTCCCTGGCCATTTTTCTTTATTATGAAATTATATTACATTGTTAACACAGTTGAACTGATTTTTCTTGTTAAATTAATTTTTAATAATTTTTAAAATTATTTTAATTATTTTAAAAAAATATTGAAGATTATGCAGAAACTGCCCCTATGGAAAAGAGCTGAACTGTAACATCAGCAACATCATTCTATAAACTGCTAGAGTTAATATTAAATAGTGTTTATAAACTTAATTCTTCTAAGACCTTTACAGGTTCCATCGTAAAATATCAAGCAATTAAGTCTCCAAAAACTTCAGATATTTAAGGACAGTAGCACATTTCACACAAAAGAGTTTATGCTTGCAGAGATATGTAGACAATCTGCATTTGCCTCCCTTCAGTGGATTTTGAATATCATAAGCAAGTTTCAATTTATTCTCTGTTCTACAGTCAGATGTTTACCTCATGATCTGGGTTAGAGATATTCTCCAGTATCATTTTAGCTTGCTGGAAGTGTTTGCTAGCAGCCATGTAGAGATCAGAAGACTGAGGCGGAGGAGTGTATTTGTTTAGATCAGACATTTCCTAAACATTAAATAATAAATATCATTTAAAATTGAAGCAATAAAATATCCTTATACATTTAAAAATATAAATTGAGGTTTGATGAAAAGAAACAGCATACAGAACCCTTTTAATTATTAATTCATATATAATTTTATAATTACTTCTGGTATTGTAAAGACTAACAAATTATACTTTTCAAGACCACTAACACGGCATGCAAAATGCTTTTTCCTATTTTAAAGGCAGGCTTGGAATGTGACTTGATGTAAACCACTGTTACTTGCCTTCATTCCAAGAAAAATAAATATATACACAATTGCTTGTGAGGACGAAATTATTAACAAAAATTGTGACAAATTAGTTTTTAAAAAAATATTAAAGTAAAACATGTAAATAACATGGATTTAATGTGAGTCACCTTGAATTGCAAATAGTGCACAGGAGGTGGTGTGATGACACTGTTGAATGGGGCAAATCGATGTTCATATCGAACTTGTTCACTATCAAGTTCAAATTTTGGCTTCCTCACTTTACCATCCATGTCAAAAGCAATCATAGTCTTCAGGAAAATGCAAAGTAAAAGCAGCTTGTTACAACAACAGCAATGGAAATGTTAATATATGTACATACTACTTAGAAATGATAGGAAAAATGGTTTGTATTTCTGATTATAACTGCATATGACTCTTGACATTCCACCCTAGTAATTATCTCTTGAAATATCATTCATAACTGTATCACTGGAATTAAATGGAACTAGCTCTTTCATACTACTAACAGATGACTATGCTAGTGAAATGTACAAATAAACTTTAGATGGTCCAAGATGTGGTAGCCCAACTGCTATTGGTTACAAGGAGGTTTAGCAATTTAAACCTTGTTTGTTAGATTGCTTGTTGGATTAGTTACTAAAAATTGCCAGGTCCAACTCAAAGTGCTTATGCTAAAGCCCTAGATCAGGTGTCCAACGTTGGCAATTTAAGACTTGTGGACTTCGAATCCTAGAATTCCCCAGCAAATTTGGGTATACAAATGTGCCCTTTATAGATCTGTATTTTTTAAAAAGTTATTGAATTACATAATGTGTAATACATCACCTTGTACATTCCAGCACACATATTTTGATAGGCTTGGCTCATTGTAATCTCTCTGCTCAGAGGACGAGCTGTAAAAGTTATGCATAGAAAAACATGATCATAAAATTGTGCTAACTTCTAAAATATTTTTAAAAACCTACATAATCTGAAAAATGAGGCAGATCTCATAAGTATATGTATTATTTTATAGAATTTGCAATGACCCTACTACAGAAATTAACTGTGAGACACCCATGCTAAACATTTTCTCAAAAAGGCCACTTTCTAATATACTGCTGACTGAAAAATAGTAATAATGGAAAAATATTTTTGCTTATTTATAAACCATTTGAGTTGTAAACAATTAAAACTATACAAATGGGGGGAGGGGACCTACTTTTTTCTTCTAATGATAAAAGCAAGCTACATTGCTTGACAAATGAATTATGAAAACCGGAAAGATTATTCAATGGGAAAATGCAATTAGTGAAAAGAGAAGTTCAAATTTCTAAACTTATTCAAGAATAAAATAAGAAATTAAGATCATATTCCATTATTATTATTATTATTGTTGTTGTTGTTGTTGCTTAATAATTTATTGTACAATGTCTATGCTATGAGTATTATGTCATTTTATTTAGATTTTATTGAAGAGTGAGTTTGGAGATAATGAAATTGCTTATTTGGAAGAATGTATATAATTTAGATTTTGATGGCTCCATATAGCTGAACTTTCAAAAGGCAACCATAAGTTCAGATGTCATAAAAGAAGCCTGAAACAAAACAATGAAGCGTTTGCAAGACCTGTCTCAAAAATATACCTTTTTTCTTTTTCTTTGTTTTTTTATTACTCCGGCCTTTCTGTTGTTCTTCCATTATTCTTTCTTCAGCCATTTGAGAACTATCAGCACGACTGAGTGTCGACATTAGCCATGCATATAGAAATTCAGATAGGTACCTAATATAGAAAGAATACTTAATTTTAGGACATTTACTAATTTTTGATTATTTATTTGTTCATTTATTAATCAAATTTATAAAGGTGTCCATCTCAAGAGAAGTGACTCTTGGCAACGTGCAATTGTCAATAAAAAACAACACACACATTAAAATAAACATTTAAAAATAGAAAAATCAGCATTACAAATGGAGATAATTTAAACTAAAAATATATACAAACCCCAAATAGAGAAAAAAAGAAAGAAAGAAAGAAAGAAAGAAAGAAAGAAAGAAAGAAAAAGAAAATATGTACCTCAATACTGGAGCCATTTAAACAAGTCTGCAGTTTCCTGGGACCCCCTGCCCTGATGATATAACAAGGTCTTGAGGGACTTCTAAAATATCAAAAGGGATACAGCTAACCTAATGTTGAGGGGCAGGAGTGGGGAGAATATTCATAAGGTGGGTGCCACAGTAGACAAGGCCTGCTATCTGGGACCTGCCAGATATGGTTCCCTAGCAGATGGTATCCATAACATGTCTCCTCTGTTAAATCTAAGGGGCTGAGGTGATACAACTGGGGAAAGGCGATTTCTCAGATAACTCCGTTTTATACCACAAAGGGCTTTAAGGGTTAAAAGAAGCACCTTCAATCTGTTTGTTTTAATTTTATAACCAGTTTTAATTTAGATAAGACTTTAAGTAGGAAAAAATGTAACCATTTGAGAAAATTATTTATTTTCAAATAAGTTGATAACTAAAATAAAAATCATACTTAGTATTTCCAGACAACTTTATAATTTAAATGTATAGATCCTTCATTGAATCATATTATACACCAGCTATTATTAAATGAATTTCAGTTTTCTTCACTAAAACTGTCCTCTCTTTTTTTTCTCAAAGCAAAGAAGAAAGAAAACTGATCAGCCCAGACTCAAGCATTATTTTATTAAAATTAATATAGTCACACAATAAGATTCTCTCTGACAACTTTAGTTTATTATGAAACTAGCCTAATTTTTCCCCTCATGCCAGATCACCCTCATAGCAGTAGTTGCTAATGGGAGAGAATACTTTCTTGCCATGAAGATCCTCAAACAAACATACCATAAGAGTCACAAGCCTGTTACATTAACCCTGAATAGGTTGTTAATTCAAATTATCCACATATAATTTTCAAAATATAAAAAAATAATTAGGAACATCAAAGTTCATGACCAATGTCAATATATTAACAATCTTAGAAAATATATTAACAGAGGGACAGCTGTAGATGTACTATCAGAACTTTGCAAGCACTGATCAGTGTAAGGGCTCCATTGCATGAAGCAATGGACAAATTATGGGGAACTAGAAGTCTTTCAGCTATAGTCATGTGAAAAAGTAACTGAAATGTTTGACTTTTTCAACATATTTGGGCATACAGGTATTTGATCTTCATTCAACAATAATGACAAAAGGGATGTAAGAAACGCATCTTGTAGTCCATTGTGTAATTTAAATGAACATAAACACAAATTTCACCTGTGGAAAAAAATAAATACATCTCTGCATTTGTCACTACCTCACATATCTAAAATTAGAATTTTAAAAAATTAGTATGTGTACCATATATAGGTAAATCTAGGCAAAACCTTAATGAAATCTCAGATGTTTAGTTTGATTCATTATGATGGTATCACCATGCCTAGATCAAAAGAGCTCTCTGAAGCTTTCAGAAAAAATAGGCATTGATGCCTGTGAATCTGGGAAAGGATTTTAAAGATTGCCAAACAACTAGACATCAATCATTTTACTATCTGGAATATCATTTATGAGAGGAGAAGATTTCAAACAACTGCCAACTCATCCAAGTCTCGCTATCCCAGCAAGCTCAGCCCTCGAGCAGAACACAAGACACTGAAGAAGGCCTCTAAGAATCCCAGAATTTCATCACGTGACCCCGAACCAGCTCTCACCACTATTGAAGTCAAACTGCATGTGTCTACCATTAGAAAGAAGCTGCTCAAATTAGAGTTACGTAGGAGGTATATCAAGAGGAAACCTCTACTGTCCAGAAAGGACAGAAGAGGCAAAGATATTGATACAGATAAGTACCAAGAGACACATTTGGTGAAAATACAGCATTTACCAGAAGAACCTGATACCAAGTATAAAGCATAGTGATGGAAATGTTATGGTTTGCTATATCAGGTCCTGAGCAGTTCACCAACATGAAATCTACTTTTGTATCCAAGGTGCTTGAGGCTAATGGGAAATCACCAGCCAGAAGATGAAAGCTTTAAAGAAAGTGGCAGAAACCATAAACATTCTAGTAAATCCACCAAACTGGCTGAAAAAGAGGAAATGGGAGGGTTTTACTTAAAGCTTGTTTCGGTCAAAAGGGGAAAAAATCTCAGGTTTTGCTTACTTTTTCCACAGAAGAAAATGCTATATCTGTTAAATCTTTATTGAATAAATATTTTCAAAGTCAGTTTTCAATTGGGTTTTTCTGTTCAATTACGTTATATTTCTTGTCTTATGCTGTTTGAATGAAGATAAAACATTGGTATGTCCACAAATGTAAAAAAAGGAAAAATATATATGGCATGTGCTTACTATTTCATATCACTATATGTCTGATGACTCTCTTACATTCACACACAATGAAGACTATATTCCAGTTCCAGCTATCGAAGCTTTAAGACTAACTGTTCTTCAAACAAACTTCAGGCAAATAGAGGCATTACAAAACGAGGAGATCAGTAGTATTTTAGGTAAAGGAGTATCTAATGCAAGTATCTCTATAAGCAAAAATAGCTAAGCAGTGTAAAACTCATTAATTTTGCATGATGTTTAGAAAAAAAATAAATTCATTGAAGTATCAAAAATATTGAAGATATCTTTAAATATGAGTAATACACACTTATGGAATCTCTGCCACATCATGATCAATGGGGGAATACTAATGCAATTGTACCTAAGGAACCTGTTAGACACATATATGCTTCACTATATTTAGAGTTAGGTCTGGATAGCACACCTTCCTAATTTCTCTTACCAATATATGTAATAATATTCATGCATACTGTATAGCTCCAATTCGAACCCACTGAGAAGATACTGTATCATAATGCGAAGATTATGATATAGGACCCACGTTCCCAAGCAGGCCAAATGCTGTCTTTGAGGTTCTTGTTTCAAGAGCATACTGTGAAGAGCTGCATCCACTTTCTCTGCCTAATGAAAAAGAAATATTCAGCTTAATGCAACGACGAGTGCTGAAATTACACTAACAAAATTCTGACAAATAATTCTAACTAAAAGAGTCAGTTTGGCCTAGTGGTTAAGGCCTCAGGCTAGAAACTGTGGGTTCTAGTCCCACTTTAGACATGAAAGCCAGCTGGGTGACTTTGGGCCAGTCACCCAATCTCGGTCCAACTCACCTCACAGGGTGGTGGTTGTGGGAAAAACAGGAGGAAGAAGGATCTTTATGTATGTTCACCACCTTGAGTTATTTATAAAAATAATAAAGGTGAGATTAAATTTTTTTTAACAAAAATCTAATCCCCCTCCCCATCACCGATGCTTGTATCTGCATTTACACCTACGATCCCAAAACTGTTGTTCTTTCACATCAAAACAAATAACCCAAACATATGCAATAACATGTAAGGATCAAAACAGTTTCATTTAATTTAGGTGTAACATATGTATGAATGATACTAATAAATTGAGCATTTTGTCTTCCATACAATATCACACCTTAGAATTTTATATCATATAATGATTTTTTTCACCTTTGAAACCGATTGAATATTCTAATATTTAATGCTTTGGTATATGGTATGATATATCTTAAAACAAATTGATAATACGTTGTCTAAAGTTATTAATAAATATAGCAACATTAGTTACGAAGAAAAAGTTAGTTTACCCAAATTTAAGGTTTTCCTTAAATCTTATATTCCTAGATATTAACTCTTTTTTAAAGGGCAATGGAAACAGAAAAACATGTATCGGATGTAGCTCTAGGAAGCATAGAGAACAAAAGCATGCTGCTTGAACACTGCAAACTATTCCTAAAGTTCTCACTTCAACAGATCTAAATATACTTTTAAATAATTCTTATACTGCCAAATGAACTAGAAAGAAAATGCAAGCCATCTTCATGACAGATTTGATAAGGTGATAAGATTTGATACCTGCTTATATTACCTCATCTTGCAAAGTAGCAAATTCTTCAAGAATATGGCCAAGTTTATCTCTCTGCCGAGCTCTATTATGCCCATGAATTTGAATCAAACTGCAAAATGGCTGGGAAAAAAAGGAACCAGTATGTTATATTTGAGACTTTACAGAGGAAATCTTAAGAATTACAATTACAATTATAATAGTAGAGTTGGAGAGGACCTTGGAGGTCTTCTAGTCCAACCCCCTGCCTATGAGGAAACCCTAAACCTACATCAGCTCAGACAAATGGCTATCCAACATTTTCTTAAAGACTTCCAGTGTTGGAGCACTCACAACTTCTGGAGGCAAGCTGTTCCACTGANGAAGGATGGAAGGCTGAGTCAACCTTGAGCCGGTGAGATTTGAACCACTGAACTGCAGATCACAGTCAGCTGAAGTGGCCTGCAGTACTACACCCTAACCACTGCGCCACCTCGGCTCTTGGTATGCTTGTTGTGTCCTATTGAAAGATGAAATTCCTCTTCATTTTCTTCATTTTCAGTACTTTAGTAGCCTGAAGGTATTGTGCTGAAATTGACTCATATTTGGAACTGTTCATAATTTCCCCCATCTTGACTAGAACGCCTTGTTCAAGCAACCCCAAAACATGCTACCACCATACTTCACTTTGAATATGGGGTACTTTTGATGATGCAGTGGTGTTTTAGCGTCATACGTTTTGGAATTAAAGACCAAAAGTTCCACCTTGGTCTCATCAGACCATAACACATGCTTTGGTAGACCTGATGTAGTTTTTTTTTGCAAAATGTAACCAGGCTTTGATGTGTGTGGTTTTTTTTATTTTTTAAGAAAAAGGCTTCCATCTTCCCACACAGCCCAGACATATGAAGGAGACCGTTGTGTCATGTTGTACATAACCAGTACTTGCAAGAACTTCCTACAGCCCTTTAATGTTGCCTCTTGGCAGTTTCTCTGCTCAGTTATCGGTTTTTCATAGATTTTGGAGGAACATCCAATTGTTGGTAAGGTCACTGTTGTGCCATATTTTCTACCCTTCTGTTGACTTGACACCTTCCAACAATGAAATAACTTTGGTGCTTTATAAGCTCTTTGCAGATCATTGCTTTTGCTGTAAATGTCAGAAAAATCGTACTAGAACAGCTTTATATGGCCTTAATTGATGGCAACTATGTACCAGAGGTGGGTTGCTCCCAGTTCGGGAGAATCGGTAGTGGTAATTGGGCGTGGGTTGCTGAACCAGTAGTGACGGCTGGCTGGCCACGCCCCTGAACCAACTCGCTCGGATGCTCATCCTGCCTCGCCTTCCCCAAGTGCATCCACACAACTGCCTCCTCCTGCCTACACATAGGTAAACAACATTCGCACTAGCAAGAGCAAGGAACAGTCAAAATACAAAGAGTAAAGAGATGTAGAATCTGTCTAAAGTTTCTCAAGGATATATATTCTATCCAGGATCAGAACATAAAACAAAAATGGATAGTTCCTTTTGAAGTTTTTTTTTTGTCCAAGAGTATGATGATAAGTAACAGCAGTAACATAGAGCCAAGCTTTATGAGTGGAACTTTAATATTTGATCAGAGGCAAACAGACAGAAGGACCAATGAATTTGTTTTCTTTACAAATGAATTCTTATGCATATCAAGACAAAACAGTTTCTTTTATTGCATTGTATTTTCAGAGTGGTCAAGCATGTTATGAAACGTTCCAACACCATTCATAAAAATGACTTACAGATAATATACAATAAAATAAAAAACAAAAAACTGTTTCAACAATGTATGTATCAAATCAGCTTCAGCAGAACATTACACAAACCATTTTAAAACAGCAGTTATTCCAGCTGTTTAGGAGGACTGAATGAAATTGCTTCTGATATGAGTACTTTTGACCAAGAGTTTTCTGTCCTTTTTCAGCACAACATAAAGGAGATTCTCCAAGCAAATTATAATTTATCTGTTCTCCTAAACAAGTTTCACTACTGGGAAATATCTATGAGGAGAAAAATCAAATTCTGGAGGAACCTGGAAAAATAAATATATACATATTAGTGTTAATTTAAAATAGCTTTTCAAGAATTTTGTCATCCCAAGTGAATTTTTAAAATATCAAGTATCCCAGAAAAATTCCAAAAGGGTAGGTGAGAGGAAAAGATTGACATATTATGAAATTTAAAGAAAATTCAGTGAAGCTGCTTCTGAATAATCATATACTCTTCACTTATTCTTTGTAACTGTAGAAATATGTCCCATTAACATTTATTTATTTATTTATTTAATTAATTAATTAATTAATTGGTTTGTATGCCGCCCACTCTCGAGAGACTCAGGGCGGCTTACAGGTAAAAAAGGAAGGGGGGATATACAAAAAATAAAAAAACAACATTAAAAATTCCACAACATTCATAACTTAGGATGGGGCTGGNTAAATTATATCGACGGCATTCCTCTGGTCCACTAATTTTGTCACTTTGTCAAAGAACGCAATAAGATTAGTCTGGCATGATCTGTTTTTGACAAACCCACATTGGCTTTTGTGCACTGTGCAACAGTGTACCTTGAAGTGATTTATAAAAACAAAATCAATCAGTTCTTAGCTCACATCTGTTTAGGTGAATCTAAAAGGTGATTGTAATATGCATCTTACTGCAATGTTTTCCTATCATTATAAAATCAATATAGTCCTTCTTTTGAAGTGCAGAATATTCCTTCAATAATTTCTCATAATTTCCTATTAGTCTGTGAAAGTATCTTACAGCATCACAACTGAAAAATTTAGAAAGATAAAAGGAGAATCACAGGACCAGGCATCTGGAAACTGTTTCATTTTGAAATATTTCAAGCACAAAATTTACTGAAATGCATTTTAGCTGTAAAAATGGGCCGTTGCGTACTTGGAATGGGAAACTTTGTGAAATTTCAAACCAAACAAGTTTCAAGACAAAACATTTTGCCCATAATCTTTACAGGACCCTCTATACTACTTCCTTCGCTATTTTACAAAGCACTTTAAAAAAATATTTTCTTCAAATTAATATAATATTTCTTCAATTCAAATACTGGTTTACTTTTTGCTAAAAGGATGTAACAATCCAACTTTGAACAGGTCATACATTGAGAAAATATACGTTTATCCTTACTGTATGTAAGCATTAAAATAAATAGCACTAATATTTCATAATGCTATCAATACTCACTCGAACACAGTGTGTGACAAAGGAGTCAATATAGTCCTTAGCCTGGTGATTGTTATAAAGACAACACCTAAGAGAAAACGAGTGAAATTATTTTCAATAAAAATTAAAGATATACAGTGACCTAAAGCAGAGGTGGGCATCCTGTCCCTCCAATTATTTTTATCCCTCCCCCCCGAGCATATCGATAAGAGTACAAACCTTAAGTGATTTTCACACCTTCGTATCCTCAGTGACACTCCACTCCAAATATATACAAACCCCAAAAAACTTTGGGGGTGTTTGATGTTATCACATCACTACCCTCTGGTCTTTGGAGGCTTTTTTTAAAAAGTATAACTCATGAATAAATCAACTGCTTCCTTCTATCCTTAGATGAAACACATGACTTGTATTCCTAACAATGGTTATGCCATAGAACTCCCAGATACTTTTTCTCCCTTAACAATACTTAGATATTTTTTAATTACCAGAGAAGTCTACTTCTAAGTAGAAGTGATTTTACCAACACCTTGGTATCTTTAGTATAAAGATATACTTTATATAGTATAGTTTTTAAAGTATCTAAGATATTTTGAAAGAAACTATAAATATGTAAGTTCATACCCAAATAGATTTTGCTACTCACTTTGGTGAAAGTACTGGTGGACTGACAAAGGATCTTAGGGCATCTTTTACCATGTCTTGCATAAGGTGAGTACCAAAGACTTTTTTATTGTCCACAAGGAAAGTGGTCTGAAACAAAATGTATTTTCATTAGTTTATATGGCTATGAAAATAATTTTCAATCTTTTATTGTACTATTTCCAACTTGCCTGTAACAGTGATCTTGAAAGAACGCAGGGTGATTGTTCACTAAACTCACAGAAAAAATCCTAATTTATAACAGAGTAAGAAAACCATGGTCAATATTTTGAATAAAGATAAAGTCAAACTCCTCTTTAGATATAAAACATCTTACATCAGCAGAAGAGAGCTCCCCATCCCTTCCTCAATGGGACATTTGAGACCCTTCTTTGGGAGTAATTATAAAAAGTAATTGCAGCATTCTATTTCAATAGTCTTTTAAAAAATGATTTCATTAATTGTTTTCTGTTTTTCAAATTGACATATGAAACATGAAATGAGAATTCATTTTAAGTCTAAAAAGCATTCATGAAAAAGCCCTTGGAATTATTCAAAGAGGATGCCTTTGTTTCTCAATTAATAATATGCTAAAAGTATTCATACTTACTAGTATGCAATGTAAATTGGTTAAATTGATGACTTCGCACACAGTTTTGATTCGTTCTATAAGTTTTGAAAAATAGTTAACCATTTCTTCTCTTTTAATAATTTTTGCATATCGAGGAAAAGTTGGAGGGAGCAATCTCTGATTAACTAATGGCTCAAAGCCCATCATTATAGGGTGATCTAAAAAAGTAATAAAGAATTCAGTTATGATTCTCCATTTAAGTTCTCTTTTATATAATAGCCAATCAATGAACAGTTTATCAATTAAGGAACAACTTTCAAAGTATTAATTTTGTCACCTAAGCAATTTAAGATTAACCTTATCAAAATTTATTGAATAGCAAAGCATTCAAGTACTACATAAGTAATAAGGAAGCAAAATAGAATATTGTGCATAAGGATCAGTCTCAAGACAAGTTCTGAAAATTACACAGCAATACTAATGATTTGTAAAATCTGAATTTACAATGACAGAAAGCTAGAAATCTGAACTTATCCTAAAAAGGAGAAAAGAGAATATATTGGAGAGACTCTCAGTGAAGATCCCCAGTGAGAAAGGATGAAAGAATGACTTATAGACAGTCATTGGATTTTGCTAAACCATTTAAAAATTCTATGGGTGATCTCACTGACACACAAAAATGGCAATCTTCCTCCAACAGGCTATTAAATATTTCTATTTCTAGAACAACAAATACCACCTTGTACTAATATAAAGTTTTCAATATGTTTGTGTCTCAAGAAGAATGCCCAACTGAGATGGAAAAGTTTAAAATAAACCTTTCCCAGCAAGAGCTAGAGAACATTCCTAAAAATAAATGCTGACCTCCTTTGGTGGTATCATTCTGAGCCTGAATACCATGATGTATTAAGTTGTGAATCGCAGAAAGCAAGTCAGCGGCCTGAGTCAGCAACTTCTGAGCTTCTGCAACTGCACTAGTCTGTTCAGAAACAAATTTTAAAAGCTTATGTACAATAAAACAACACCTGTATTAAGAATTTGTACAATTACAGAAAGCATAATATATTAGTGTACCATACTATATTATATCATATTTTTGCTTATGCATGTTAGATCTAAAGATGCATCTCAGTTTTAAAAATTCAAAATCAATTTTACAGTTTTGATTATTGGAAAGTAAAATGACAGCTTTTAAAATGGGTAGTGGCAACATGGCCCACTAAGTACTCTACCTGCCTCAAAATGTTGAAATGCTACAATGAATATTATGCAAAAACTGAAATGTCAAGTAATGTCAGCCTAAGATCCCATATTTCAGCAATGACAAGAGCATCCATATTAACATGTAAGCGTGTGCCCCTGGTGCCTGAAATTGTGAAATTTTTTGAGCGTATTTTGGCACCTAATATTCTCAGCGTATTTGTGAGCATATATGCTACTGTAGTTTCTAAATGTAGAAGCTCTACATAATAACCTGCATGAAAATATATAGAAACAATTTGAGGCAACTAAAGTGTGTTTAAAAATGTTCAATTAATCATACCTCTTTCTTGGTAAAGGCTATTAACACAGTCAGTAATATCCGAGTAAACTTCACTCTGCTGAAAACTGCAAAGCACTGCTGATGCTATTGTAAAATCAATTTCAAAATTAATAATGATCAAATGTGATATAAGAGAAGGTTTGAAGCTTAAACAATGTTTGTTATTTATACATATAAAAGTTGTGTTGCTACTCTGAACCCCAAAACAATTTTTTAAAAACAAATTCCCTTCTGGATAAGTTAATAGTATAAGAATGCCGTTTTTAAAATTGTACCTTAAATATGATCAAAGTGCATGATTACCAATAAAAGCAATGCCCAATTCAAGTCCTGCCAAAATCAAGACCCAAACAATCTCCCCACCCAGGAATCTTATGATTCTAATTAATTAATTGTTTATCATTGTGTGTGTGTGTGCCTGTCTGTCTGTCTGTATGTGTCTGTCTGGGTATATCCCCTTTTCAGCTTAGGATGCTTTTTATCTGATCTTGTATAGAATACCAGCATCCTTACTTCAAGTTCTACTTCTGGATCTCTCTCTTCTCCTTGTCGGCTTCGAGTGCTCTAAAATAAAAGGCATTACAACAATTTAATGAAGTATTACATAACTTCATAGGCCAATGTCACATACATGTGATCTTTGTGCAAAAATAGGTAATACATTCTATATTACAAACACTTGGTTAAACTTCTAATTCATCAATGGAATCAGAAATGAAGTACTTATGAAATGTGAATTCATCCCATTAACAGTTAAAGCATAACATCTAAACATCCTTTCATAGCCCTAATATTCTGGCTTGGTTTATATTTTCATTGGAATGCTGTATTTGTAGATCAAGTCTTTACAATGAACTGCAGTTCAAGTGATGGTCATCAAAGTTCTTTTCTAGAAGATTAAGACTACCCCCCCCCCCGAACAGAACAGTAAATAAAAATAGCTGCACCATCTCTCTTAGTTTGATATCTTATTAGAATCATCTTATATTCATTCCTATCTGATAAAGTAGTTCAAAAATAAATTTTAGTTAAACGAGAGCCTTACCTTTTGGGACAAGATCACAGAAATTAACAATGTAACAAGCCAAATGCCTACCAATATCCCAATTCTTGCCATTCATACTATCTCTGTGCCAAATATATCATACAGCAGGGAACGACTTTTACATTTTAAAGTACACCCCAACAGTTTTATTGATTCTGTACATTAGTCAAAATATTAGTGTTGTATATTTGAACAATTTGTCCATATTTCATTATATTAGAAATAGCTTTATATACCTAACTTCTGAAATAGTCAACAGAAATACCTTAACTCGCCGTTGCAGGTCATCTTCAACATCTTTTAGCATACCTTTAGCATGGAAAAATATTATTCAGTTCAGCAATATGAATGCTACTGGGGAAAAAAATCACTTAGGTACAAAAGTCTGAGAACAGGACAAACAGATTCAGGTGATTTTTTTTTTTTAAAGACACCATATGTTTTGGTAAAGCATCATCTGCTTGGTTTCCAACTGTGTTAAAATCTACTCCTATTTTTTTTAGCATGTCTCTGGGGCCAAAGCAAGCTAGAAAATTTTTCAGAAAGGACAGGAGACAAGATCACTTTTAGCCACTGATCAAAGATGAGGAATTTAATCAATATAATGTACTTCTACCAAGAACAGTACTGAAGACAGGCAATGATACAGATAAAAATAATTTGCTTCAGAAAAAAAAATAACCCTAAAACATCTAGCCAGGAATTTGCACCAAATTACTGACTTTGGTTTTCAGTGTGGTCCAAGATCACCGTGTCTTTAATTCTTTATACTAATTAAGAACTTGGGTGTTCAGTTTTTATTCCTACTTCAAAATGCATGCATAAAAACATTTTCCTTTTAGAATCTTACTATTTATAATACAACTTTGAAACCTATTTATTTGTTTATTTTATTCAGAAAATTTATATAGCTGCCCATTTGTTCACAGTGACTCTAGGCGGCTTACAACCAATGAAGAAACACACTATATAATAATAATAATAATAATAATAATAATAATNTTGTATTCTAATTGTTTTCTTGATAAATCTTATTTGGATTTCTCTTGGCATCTTGTTGTTCATTGCATATCTTGTAAAGACTCGAAACCCTCCATCTATTCCTTCCATCAGCTTGCCTTTAGTTATCACCGATGCTTCTGCCAGAATTTCTCTCATTGTTTCTGCCAGATTTTCTCCCTTTTCTTCTTCCATGTTTTGAGGTTTGAGATAAGAGTTCCAGTTAATCTCTCCTTTCAACATTCCACTCCTGTCATTTCCAACCACGCTCAATTTGCTGTCAATATCAACAATTTTCTTATCGCTTTGTTCATATTTTTCTTCAATTTTTTGAATTCTATCCTCAAATTTCATCATTTTGTAAATATTCTCAGTTCTTCCAACTATTTTTTCTGTTGTTCTATATTCTCCATTCTCTTTTCAATATTCTCTGTACTTATTTGTACCTTTTGAATTTCTAGCATAATCATTTGTAATGTTAGTTCTTTTTCTTCTTCATGTTGTGCCATTCTTCCAAGTTATAAACCTTGCCACTAAAACATCCAAGGCTTTTTTGTTAAGTTTCAAACAAGTTCAAAATAATCTTTTAAGTCAAGGCTTTCTCTTCACTCCAGAAGAGCACCTGCATAAACAATCCATACTCTTCCCACTATCCATTTCAATAAACAAAATCAGGAGCCTTGAAGTATAAGATGTTAGATGTTCAAAGGGAATAAGAAAAAAAATGTTTCCAAGCCTCCAGCCTCTAGGTGGCAGTGTTACTTGTTTTCCCTCTGCTTTTACCCCTCTCTTTAAATTCCAAACTTAAGAAAAAAAATTCTTAAAAAGAAACAATCCAGCCAAGCGTTGAAAAAAGGAAAGAAATTCATAATCCACCAATATGAAAAAAGAGGAAAAATAGAAGAAGGAAAAAGAAACCAGTCCAATTTAAAAAGAGGCATTTGTAAAAATTCCATCCATTAAAAAAAAAAATTAAAAAAGGATAACACATTAAGTTTAATTCAGGCTTAATTCGCCACTTACTCTCTTCTGTCTTCAATTTTAATTTTACTCTAAGTCTTTTTGGGTATCCTCTTCTCTAATAGTAAAAATTTATCTCACCATTTCGACACACACTCTCTCCTGCTTTTCTTCCTTTCAGGGGCTGTCCCAACCTTTTTCAGCTTAATGGCTGCTTCTCTGTTGCTGGAAAAAAGAACTTCTCCTGGATCAATCAGGGACTTTGTGATGTCCCTGAGATCAGCAGGATGTGCCGTTCTCTATCACCGTCTCTATGGGATGGTTTAAGTCTAAAAGGACTGTCCAGCAGCAGAGATATCGACCGTAATCTTGGAGCTCCAAGATTGCATGTCATGTCGTTGCGACGTCAGCCCTGCCTCCCTAATTTCTCCTCAATTCTACTTTGCTTCTCTCCTTGCTTAGTTTCCACCCATTGCTTCTTGTTCTACACTCAGGTGCTTTGGAGAATAGTTTGACTCCCTCTTCTTTGTGGCAACCCCCGAGATATTGGAACACTGCTATCATGTTTCCCCTAGTCCTTCTTTTCATTAAACTAGACATACCCAGTTCTTGCAACCGTTCTTCATATGTTTTAGCCTCCAGTCCCCAAATCATCTTTGTTGCTCTTTCTAGAGTCTCCACATCTTTTTTACACCATGGCGACCAAAACTGAATGCAGTATTCCAAGTGTGGCCTTACCAAGGCATTAAAAAGTGGTATTAACACTGCACATGATCTTGATTCTATCCCTGTTTATGCAGTCTAGAACTGTGTTGGCTTTTTTGGCAGCTGCAGCACATAGCTGGCTCATATTTAAATAGTTGTCCACTAGGATTCCAAGATCCCTCTCATAGTTACTACTATTGAGCAAGGTACCACCTATACTCATACCTGTGCATTTCGTTTTTCTTGCTTAAATATAGAACCTTACTTTTTTCACCATTGAATTTCATTTTTGGTCGCCATGATGTAGAAAAGATGTGGAGACTCTAGAAAAAGCAACAAAGATGATTAGGGGACTGGAGACTAAAACATATGGAGAACGGTTGCAGGAACTGGGTAAGAAAAGAAAGACTAGTGGAGACATGATAGCTGGGTTCCAATATCCCAGGGGCACAAAGAAGAAGGAGTCAAACTACC